CCCCACCCCTGATAAGTCCCGGTGTGCATGAAGTTAAGTTGACCCCATCACCATACGGTCCCCCACACATGCGGAACTCACACGCCAAAGTCATGTCCCATGATGCGAACACGAAACTGAAACAGTATCACTGACAGGTTTTGACGATGGGCCCCAGAACTCTGAATAATATTGATCACTTGTATATTTGCAATTAAAACAGTTATCAGGCCATCATCGGATAATTCCGAGTAGGAACAAAAGAGAAAGTAGATCTTGAAAATATTCCAAGTTGGAATACCAAATCGATACTACTTCAATTAGGCGTATAGTTAGCAAAGATCCAACACACAACTTGGAGCAAGTCAACTAAATCCGGCATCAGTATTTCGCAAAATAGTGCTCCGAGATCCTGCTGACAAAAAGTTCAGCGAGTGCTTCCCGTAGCAAAGCAGAAGGCAGAGTAAATTTTTAGAAAAATCAGGCGCAACACAAGGAACTAAAAAAAAAAAAAAAACGGGATACACGCACTGAAATCGGAATGCTTGATATTTGGGGGAAAAAAATCAGGATATCCCGATTAAATCAGGATGAGTGGCAGGTCTGGACAGAGATACTCAATAAAAATTCTCCCATCACGGGAATCAACTTCAGCTCTTCCTCGAGAAGACAGCAAAGCACCAAACTGCTACACCACACCACAGACAACCATCAGAACGGACATCGATGTTACACCACAGACACTGGAAGATGCAGGTCTCATCAAAGGATATCACAAACAGCGGATGTACCACACAGGTTGAATGCTTGGAAATGAGAACGCTTCCTCAGCACAAAAAAAAGTCCTATTTAATTTAGGAAAGAGAAATGAGACCAAAAAAATTGAATTCCTAATAACAACGGCACATCTTAACTCTTTTCCGAAGCATATTTATGTGTCTAGATTTCTGGGAGTTTTGAGATCATCAGTTTCACATGACAATTAAAAAAAGTATGCTCAACATTTCATGGGATCAGTGAGGTAAAGATGAAACAAGGATCATAAAAAGATAAATTTCTGAGAATTAAAATAAATATGAAAGGCAAAAGTAGGATTCTCATCTCTCGCCTGAAACAAAGCTCATCATTACATCAATAAATAATGTCATGAAAGTATCAACATTTGACCATATACTTGTACTGATGTTCGGAGTATGGACACACTGTGTGTTTGGTCAGACGTTGTGTCTCTTGAAAAGGCACTTTCATGTATTTTCCCATTTGCCTCTGTCCTGTTGGAGACGGACGTTAACTCCGGAGGTCCTGCCTCTTAAATAACCTTTCAGTATTGCAAGGGATGTTAAACCTGTACAGTTTCATTTTTTAATTACTAAGTTATCACTTTGAGAACAGAAGAAGATTACAACTAATACAACAATGTTCATTACTTCTAGTAAAAAATCTGAAAACAGATGCATGGTCACAGCTGATAAATATCTTAGCTCACCACTCCTTCAATCAGGTCATGAAAGTAGCGTAAAGCCTCTCGGAGGTTTGTGCCAACGTCAGGTTCTAAAAATAAAGCGAAAAAAAAGAGTTAGCCATAACAGTAAGTCAAATACAAAGACTACTGAATACAAGCAAAGTTTCCATAGGATGATAATGAGTTTCCTTGCCTCAACTGAAATGTGCCATAAACTATAAACATCAACGCTCATGGCTAAAAATAATTCTGCCAGAGATATCGAGTTACGAATATGAATTCACAGCTTTTTTGTTTTGTTTTTGGTGACAACACTTGTTGTCATAGAACTGGACAGCTCATTAACACCTCACTGAACTTAAATTACATACTGCCAAATGCTGTAAAAAAAAAAAAGATTATAAAACCAAGCAGACCCTGTATGAGTACAAACTTGTCCAAAGTAAATCTCTCAGGTCTCAACATTCAAGTTCAACCGTTGTGAAGAAATCACAAGCCTAATAAGAAAACTATGATTATAAAATTGACATCATGTGGACAAACTATTCTTATAATTTAAAAATTTTTATTCCGTTATCTTTTTACATTAGCTTAGAAAGATATGGTCATGAGGTAAAAAAAAAAAAAAAGCGTTCCAAAAGCATATGTATATAAAAGTTACCTATTCGGTCAAAGAGCTCTCCTCCACTCGCATACTTCAGAAAAAGGTACTGCACTTCATTCGCTTTGCGGTACCCATAAAATTTTATCACATTTTTGTGCTCCATCATACGAAGAATGCAGATCTGGTTAAAAAACAGACAAATTTGCATGTTAAACTCAATAAGATTACCAACATTACAACACGAAAAAATAAATGTCAGGTACTTTTAAGGTATCGAATAAACGTTCCCCCTCCCCCCCCCCTGCGCTTATCAATTTTCGCGCACCCCCCCACTCCTTATTCCATACCTCCCATTTATTATTTTCCAGCTTGCCACGACCGACGATCATGTGAAACATTATATCTAGAATCTAAATATCTATATCTAGATTCTAAACATAGGTTTTTGTCGCATAGCCCTGATGCCGTCTGAATCGATCGATAGCCTATTTTATTACAATGTCCGACCGCTTACAAAATATATAGTATTAGTAGATCTAGGCCTACTCTCAGCGTAGCCCGTTCAGCACTCGCTGCGGGGTTTCAGCGAGCAGGCTAAAGTATCAAGCCAAACTTCTAATAAAAGTAGATCTAGAGATGTAAGACTCATGGGTCAAAACACAAAATGAGTGAAAACATTGTCTTCAGGAACCTTGCGAATTCGACGTATCCTTCTGATTTTTGTGACACACCAAACATTTTTAGGTGGTAGGAAATTTAGAAATTTGTCCAGGTGGCCGCCGAAGCCTACTCTTATCTAATTTAAACCGCCAATGGATCTTGAATGAGTGCAACTATAGTGAGCAACTTGCACACAGGGGACCTCCGAGAATTTTCGCTCTTGTCCAAGAAGGCTTTGTGTAGATCTTTCCTACCACAAAATAAGGGGTGTGGCTGAAAGACAGCAATAAGGAGCCAAGGAGTAACAGTAGAAAGGCTGCAAAAAGAGTCAGGGGTCCAGAAGAGGGGGCAAAGAAGGTGAGGGGGGGGGGGCAGAAAGAGGAGACGAAAGCAGACGACAGACAATTGTCAGAGAGCAGGGAAGGAGGAGAAAGGAGACAATTTAGAGAAGAAAAATTTTCGTCGCTATCCAGGTTCGAACCCGGGACCTATTGAATGAGAGGCGGTGAACACCTTAACTTCTAGGCAACGAGAGCCCACTAATGTAGTTTAATAAGTCTACAACCAACAGAATTATAAAGAATAATATAACATAATTTTTTGTTTAAACAATAAATCAAACAAAGTTACACATTAATATAAGACTGAAAAAAAAGTGTTACAGTAAGAAAAATAAATACAAAATGTAACGTATCTTGCACTGGGACAAAGGCTATATATATATACATGAAAAATATAACAGTACACAGAAAAAACAAAACAAAACAGAGCAATAACCTACATATAATGATATATCAAGACTTCCCGAACACACAACAATCTATAATCTTATCTTGTACCTCTTTCTTCACATTTTCCTCCACAGCTTTGTGAGTGACATGAATGATCTTGACCGCCACACACTCCTGGGTGGCCTGGCAGACTGCTAGCTTTACCCTGAGAAGTTCAGAAGCAATAAATGGGTTGTTTTTGTTTTTTAAATTAAATGTAGGTGTTTTTACACCCCCATCAACACAACTTACATCGTTTATGAGGCAGGCTTCCAACCCCACCTGTCAGGACCAACCCCAGTTGAGAGGGTTTCAACATCCCAGAAGAATGTCCGATATACTCAATAAATATTTGCCCCACTCGGGGACCAAACTTGAGTCTCCAGTGTGCAACTACAAAATGCCTAGCCCCTACACCACAGACGCTAATTCACAAGAGATGAACAATAATCACCATGGGTATAATCAACACTGACTAGGTACCAGAAACTAAATTTTCAAAGAAGCTGTATCTGCCAAATTTATCTGTTCATATATATGAAAGGCCCACCCATCTCCTGAGAATTTTAGAACTATTCTTTCACCTCTCTCAGTCAATCTTTAAGAACTACCCAGATTTCACAGAAACCACGTGCTCAGAAGGCCACAAGTCAGCTTTTAAAAGCGCCGTGTTTATGCTACCTACATTGACCAATGCCATAGAAAGTATTAATATCTTTAGCATTAAGATTTTGACAGAAGCACTTTCAATTTAGAAAAAAATGTAAAAAGAAAAAGACATCACAATTCTAAATATTTATATTTTATTTATAAACTACATTTGTCAAATGTCCTCCTCTCTTTGTAAACGAATGAATGCGATAATCCTGTCAGTAAGTTTGTACGTTAGCACAAGTTGCAGCTCTGACAAAAAAAACCCGCACCCAAACACTCAAATCCCCAAAGACCTATCAATCTCTTCAAGCTTATACACAGCTTCCACCAAGCTTCAGCCTTTTCAATCCCTTTCACGCTTGCTGAAATCATGAATAAATGAAAATGCCAGGAACAATTCCACTCATACTCATGATAGTTTGCCACGGTTTCTCTGCCAGTGGTCAAACAGAAGATACATTCTTTTTCTATGGCAAAATAATATCATTATAACCATTTCTCCTCTACAAACCCTCTACAAACCCACGAGGTTTCAAGTCTGCATTGAATTGATTAAAAGTCACCATCATGTGTATCTTAGAAAATGACAGGCAAAGTTCTGTAGAACCACCTTGCCCTTGATATATTTGAGTAAAACTATGCAGTAGCTCTCAAAGAAGGAACTACAGGGGAAAACACATCACTCCTGTCCATTTGTGACACTGGTGAACTTAAAAGTACTGCATTTGAACATCTGGCTGAAAATAGTTGTGGCTCTTCACCTTTAATGGAGGTGTATAAGAGAAGTAAATGAATTAAGCACAATGTGACATTCTCATTGAGTGGCAAATATCAAAATTTTGTCCAAAAATGAACATGCTAAGAAAAAGAAAACAAAAACTTACTCGCCATAAGCCCCCTCTCCTAAAGTCTGCACAAATTCCCATCCTTCAACAAAAGGAATAGGAGCCGCTTCCATGATCTTCAAACTGCAGATGTCAAAACAAAAGAATCTTTTTTTAAAAATATGCAGCAATGTATACACACAAAAAAACATACCAGTAAGTAAGGGTGTAAGAGAAAATATTTTTTTAATTATTACATTTTGGACTTGGAGAAGCAACTTTTAAGAGAATACAATATATATATATATATATTTGACATTGATAGTGTGGCTTCTACTTCTAGGCCCTTTGGTTGTTTAACTTATTTCTTTATGACCTGCGTTGCGCACTGAAACAGATTGTTTTCCTTCCGTTAGGATGCGTTGTATTGCCATTGGAAGATGACCAGAATGTATTCATGTCAAAATTAATTAATATGGAAATTTAATCTCCAAAATGTTCAATTTCTTCTTTTCACGTCTTTATCTTCTTCTTTTTCATCCCTTTCCTTTAAGAATACTAGTCTAGATATGTCTAATTTTTGTTTTCTTATTTGCCCTTCTTGTGTCCACAGCACCTTTCTTTTTATCCATTATCAAAACACATACAAGGAAATCTCCCGTTAGGGGCGCACAGCTCCAAAAAAGAACACGCCTCATTGACCATTGACCTTCAGTTCCAGTCAGTACAGGAACTTCTTGCAAGAAAAAGAAGACAAGACCAGAATAGAGAAAGATGAAAAGTGCCAGAAAAGAGCTAGATCTAAGATATAGAGCTGTAAACATGGTACTATTGCGCACTCAACCAGTCGATATATGGCACCCAAACAGACACTTTAGACTTTGCGCATCAATCAAACACACGTTACCAAACACCACCACAACATAGAGGAATTTTAAACTGCTGAGTTTTGTATTGCGCTACACCGTACAAAGGAAGTCTTTCTAACTTCTGGTGAAAAAATCATGAAGATCGACCTGTAACTTCCAGAGATATTCAAAGGAAGTGGCTATCCTCACCCGGGGTGAGAATAAAAATATGATCGACCTCTCACCCCAGGTGAGACTTGCCACCCGGTGTGAAACAAGACCTGTTTTTCCTAATTTCGGAAAACTATCGGTGTGGATGATCAAATTGACAAAAAAGCAAAGAAAAAATGACGTTATAGCACAAAGTAACCTAATTTGATCGTCTACAAAGATGTTTATGGCACTTTTTGAAGTGAACCGAACTACGCGGGTTGCCATTTTGTTTTGCCCGGAAGTTCTCGCAAGATCTACTCCTCCCCTCTTTCTCTCTCTGTCTCTTTCAGAATACTGTCTATCAGTGTGGACGATCAAATTGACCAAAACAAAGTTAAAAAATGATGTTAAAACAAAAAAAAAGTAAATTAATTTGGTCGTCTACAAAGATGCTACGGCTATTTTATTTAACTTTTCAAATAGAGCCAAACTACGCGGGTCGCCATTTTGTTTTGCCCAGAAGTTCTCGAGCTACTCCTCTCTCTCTCTCTCTCTCCACTGGCCACAGACAAAATTGAACGCTTTTAGGGTAACAGTAGTAACACAGGAGCACCGGAACATTTGTTCACGGCACAGAATTCTACAATTCTGTTATCACAGTGTAGAATTCTGTGGTTCAGGGTGAACGCTGCTACACTGGTTGGCCTAGGCCATAACGATTAACGGTGAACGCACACCGGGTGAGAATAGTCAAAAGGCTATATCGTTTGCGGTACAACGCAGTAACGGACTAACTCTACTCTAGTGGATCTTGAGAATGTCCCAAGTTGGAATGCCAAATCGATTATATAGTCAACTACGCGCAACAGGCGGAACAAAAAATCGGATACATGTAGGCCCTAATCGAAATCGGGAAACGGAATGTCTATGTACACGGTAACCAGGCACCTAGCCTCAGTGTTTACGTACACGGTAACCGACAACCGGGCACATAGTATCAGTGTCATGTACTTTGTAACCGGGCATGACGCATGTTAGCCTCAATATCTACGTACACGGTAACCGGCCACGTAGTCTGAGTGTCACGTACACGGTAACCGGGCAGTTCAGAACTCCAAGTTCAGTTTTTGTCATCCGGTGTTGCCTTCATCCCCACCCCTCCCCCGACTGTACCTTTAAATTTAAATTTTAAAAATCAATAATCCCCCAATTCCGGAGCCCTATACTACGAAGCGTACAGGCTTTGATTGAACTTTGGTGACCCCCCAGCCGTACCCATAATGTGATGCGCACGAAAAGGTTCATTGACCTGTCATGATGGCGAGCCCGACAAGACGCTGGAATGACTTTCTTTTTTTTCAGCACAGGACAAAATATTGATTTTTATTTTCAGTCCGGTTTACCGTGTATGTAGATACTGAGACTAGGTGTGCCCGGTTACCGTGTACGTAGATTGAGACTAGGTGCCCGGTTACCGTGTACGTAGATATTGAGACTAGGTGCCCGGTTACCGTGTACGTAGACACTCAGCGATCGGGAAAATCAGGATGCTTGAGTTTGAGATTTGGGCCGTAAAATAGTGATATCCAGCCCGGGTAAGATTGAAGAATAGATCTAGAATCACTAAGAATCTAGAATCTAGATTTAGATCTAGAAATCTAGATCTAGGCTACCGGACCAGTGGACTGACTTGCCAAAGTCTCAACATTAAGAATTCATGATTTCCCCCAGTGTTTATATCTCTCAATGGAGAATCTCAGACCGGTAGATCTATTCATTAAAATTTTGTCACCCCCTGGCCTGAGCCTGAATGGCAATGGTCTGAACACCCTCCCACCCGCCCCACATTCTCGCGCAATAATGTAGTATAGATCTACGAGTGGTCCCGTGGCGTATTCTTCAATCTACCCCAGATTGAATCGGAATGAGTGGCAGTGGCAGATCTGAGAGTGATCACTCGCTACATGTAACACGGCACAGAAGTCCTCCCCCGATGCGAGAAAGTTAACACAGACGTCACAGTCACAGAATCATCGGCGCTTTTTCGGTAGTTCCCACCCCGCAATTTTATTCACGGGTTTGGGCCACAAGCTAGAGTAGGGGGGTTTCAGGGGGGCTTGCCCCCCTGACCTAGAATCTAATTTTAAAAATGGCCACCTCTATTCTCACCCGCGATGAGAATAGTGCAGGCGAGTCTTTTGGCTATTCTCACCCGGTGCGCGTTCACCGTTTTAGCCTAGATCTAGGCCAACAAATTTTGCGTTCACCCTAAACCACAGAATTCTACACTGCGATAACAGAAACAATGTAGAATTCTGTGCCGTGAACAAACGTTCCATTACAACTGTAGCCTAGCCTACTAAAAGCGTACAATTTTGTCTGTGGGCAGTGGAGAGAGAGAAAGACAGAGAGAGAGGAGTAGCGCGAGAACTTCCGGTCAAAACAAAATGGCGACCCGCGTAGTTCGGCTCGATTCGAAAAGTTAAATAGCTGTAGCATCTTTGTAGACAACCAAATTAATTTACTTTTGTGTTTTAACATCATTTTTTAACTTTGTTTTGGTCAATTTAATCGTCCACACCGATAGACAGTATTCAGAAAGAGACAGAGAGAGAGAGATAGGGGAGGAGTAGATCTTGCGAGAACTTCCGGGCAAAACAAAATGGTGACCCGCGTAGTTCGGCTCGATTCGAACAGTGAAATAGCCATAGCATCTTTGAAGACGATCAAATTAGCTTACTTTTGTGCTATAACGTAATTTTTTCTTGGCTTTTATCAATTGGCAATTGGATCATCCACACCGATAGACAGTATTCCAAAATGAGGAAAAGCAGGTCTTGTTTCGCACCGGGTGAGAATAGCCTACGCTGGCAATTCTCACCCGGGGTGAGAGGTAGATCGTTTTTCTATTCTCACCGCGGATGAGAATAGCCACTTCCTAAAAAAATAGGGAGGGGGATTTCAGGGGGGCATGCCCCCCTGAATTTTACCATAATTTAATGTTTTGCAGTTGTTAGGTTTGATATCTTAGCTCACCGTGAATCAAACGTATAGATCTAGATCTAGATCTAGATCTAGATAATCTAGATCTAGATCTAGATGTTAGGTCAGGCTCAAATAAGGGGGGTGGGAACTACCGAAAAATTTAAAAGCACCGAATCATCATCAATTTCAATGAATGAAGACACAAACCAAATATCCACAGAAAAAATGTCTTACAATTCACATAATATGTTCGTGTAGAAAGTTGTCACGTAGTGTTGAGGGACGCTAAAGCTTTATATTGTTTTATTAAAACACTTTTTTCCGCAGAGGCAGCAGTTTATATAACTGGTGGTTGTTGGATAGAATCTCGGCTATGTCGGATACGGGATGTTATCATTGTCTCTCCCGCGGTGAAGCACTTCCCTGTCTCTTGCAACAAAAGAATCCTATTCGATATAGAGCCAGGACGAGTATAATTTTGTAGTTGGAAAAAAAGAATAGGCCTGGAATAATGGCTTCAATATATTGCTTTTCTTTTTCTAGAAATGGCACAAAATTTATTGAATAAATTCCGGCCCTTTATTTTAAAAATTATCTGGGAGCTTAGGCCTACAGAGAACGCAAAGTGGTAAATTAATTAAAATGCTGGATTGTTGTAGTCGATGTGTAGTCGATACGAACACAAGTCGTACTTTTTGGGGCACCGCTTTATTTCTATTTCGCTCGTTTTAAGGAAGAAATTAACTCATTAATTATCTTTTGCTCGAATCATTCCCATGCTGATAAAAGTCCTTAACCCAAAAAAAATAGATCCCTTTTTTTTTCTTCTAACAAATTAGGTCTATATCGTTAACATAATAAATTATAGTATCACCTTTGACAGATTACTCTCCGGTAAAGATCACATAACCAGGATCATCAAAAGAGTCAGAAAAAAGGCTGCACTGAAAATAGTGAAAACCATGAAGTGTAGCAGAATGCCACAGAGAATTTTAGCCATGCTATGCTAGACTCTTGTGCTATCTGTGATAGACTACGGCCTCGTTCTCCTCATCTTGTCAATGTCGCTGCTGAAACGCCTTGAAAGAATTCAGAACAAAGGTATGCAGACTGTTCTCGGGTGTACACGAGACACATCCTGCGAGGCTATGCGTTATCTCCTTGACCTCCCAGCCATGGAAGAACGTCGCAAGATTGCTCAGGTGAAAGCGTATAAATTGAGAGTCAGCGCCGATGATCAGCATCCCCTGCCTGACACAGTGGGAAGAACTGAACACACGCTTCTGCTTAGAGATGGACTGAATGGGTGAATGAGGCATTGACGACTTCGGCTAAATGCTGTGAAGTGCAAGACATTCGAAAAGGCAGCGCATGGGTCAGCATCACTGACACACCTGAGCAGTATACTCGAGTGGTAGCACCTTAGGAAGAGAATGTCGTGAGTGGCCAGAGGGAGCAGCCAATGCCGAGGTAGAGACGCTGATAGAGGAGAATACTGAACTTAGTTATCTTCAGAGATGGATCAGCGCAGCGTGGTGTCAAAAATAGATGGGCTTTCAGCGCCCGTGTAAACGGGGTCATACAGACAGAGCTGTCATGCGCCACTAGTATAACCACGTCCAGCATGTGCATTGGGATATATGAAAGCCATCACAGAATAAGCCCTTAACTGGATTAAGACGACGGAGTATCAGTCTGACATCCTCGTCACCGACTCTATGAGTACCCTCGAAAAAGTGAAGAAACACATGATGACATGCAGACTGGCGAGAGGCAATACAAAGCAGCAGACTCACAAGGATTGTATGGATCTTTAGCCCTGGTTATGCAGTAGTTCAAGGCAATGAACGAGCTGATAAGCTGGCCGGCCAGGCTGAGATTGGCGGCACCATGCAATTAGATCCACCAACAGTCATGGCAGCACTGACAGCAACGACCAGAGAGAGGATGAAGGCACCACTTCACACACAATGGATAGACTAAGGGAAGTTAGTGTCTCTAGAGGGTCGGGGAGAGACAGTAACCTGCGAGGAAAAGCCAGAAGAATGTCCAACCAGCTATTAACTGGCACGATCAGCAAGCAGACCCTTTCATTGATCCTGGAGAGGAGGAAGGAACAGCTATGGCTTTGTGTCGCCTGCAATAATGCCTATTCTCCAACCAAGTAAGTAAGTAAGACCATCACCAAGTGCTAGATTCTTGACAGACATCAACATCATGGTTCTCCATTCATTCATGGTCCTTTGCTCGGTTCTCGAAAAAGTTAGATCAAGAATCTAGATCTAGGCTCTACTGTAGGCCTATCCTCCTGATCGTTCCTCGTCACCCATCTGTTTAGGTTCTCCGAATAGGCTACTCTGGGTCTACCCCTGCCTCGATTGCCTTCAATTTTGCCAGTGAGAGCATGATGTTGACTGCATTTATGTTTATTCAGGTGTCCCATGAGAAACTGCATGGTGTTTCTTCCTACAATTGTTTTTTATCTTCAGGGCGACCAACGAGGACTTCTTCAAGCACATGTACATGGTCATGACCTCATTTGATATCTTTTCCTTCTGAGAAATTCTTCTTGACAGTCTCCGTCCTAAGAAACCACAATAATTCAGTTGCTTCTGTATCATTTTCCCATTATCTCTAGTGAATGTCTAGCATTCACAGCCGTATAAAAGGTTTCATACTTTGTGAGAAATTACATATAATTGTTATTATTGATTAATTACAGAAAGATTGTAAAGTTGACTAACCCACGGTTCGTCTTATCCACGCTGATTAAAATAGATGCGCGCTCTAAGGCAGCAATTGCACGTCACTGTTGTGCATACACACACAATGTACAGGGGCGGCTCGTGGTTTGTAGAACTGATCGGCTGTAATTCCCATCGATACCTCCAGCCTCCCCTTTCAAAACCTCACCCCTACAATAGACAGACAGACAGGCAGACAGACAGACAGACAGTTCATTTATATTTACCGGTACACCTTTAGGTTTGTGTGTGTGTAGGGGGGGAGGGGGGGGGGTAATATATATGAAAAGGATTTAGTAGAAGAAAATCCACGCCGTTGCAAACTTTAAAAGGTAAATCTGGGCTTCAAGACATTGATTGAAGCCAGCATGGATAGAAATTGACTTGATCGGCACAGAACAAGATACTTAATCGGTATACCAGAAAACAAACTGAAAAATGAAAGTGAGAATGAACCACCTGATCTTAGCCCAGTCCCCTCTACGCCATCCATCCAAAGACCTACTTTTCACACACACACACAACACACAACACAACACACACACACACACACACACACACACACACACACACACACACACACACACACACATGCAAAGTCTCGACGTGTACTCGCCAGGCCTATGTAAATAGAAGCTAGAGTCTTGCTGGGGTGAAGGAGGAAAAGGCGAAAGAGAGAAAACGGGGGGCGGGGTGCATTGTTTTAGGTCCAGAGTCTGACAGCCGAACGGGGCACTTCCCTCTCCTCGAATCCCCTCTATAGATCCAGATCTATATTTCAACTGTGAGGAACACAAGATCGCCTGCACGGGTTCTGGCCAAACCAACACACAGCATAGACCGAATAACTCTTATGAAGATACTGAGACATCACGGGATTCCAATCACTACAGATTGGTAGCTCATTTCTTGCTGGCAGGATGTTTGGCGCGTTACATGGTGGTGGTCTGTTCAGGAGACTGTTGAAATGCTCTACGTACCCATCGTCTTGACTAAGCTTCCTTTTCAAAAATGTTTTTTCCCTCTTGGTTCTTACTGTTACTTCTGGTTTCCCATATTTTCCAGAGAGAGTCTTTGTAGGCTGGTAACTCTTTTTATCCGGGCTACGAGTATACTCGTAGGCTGGTAAAGGATTCGCATATTCCCTCCTGCTGCTGCCTCCTCTGCCCTTTCTGCAAGCCTGTTCATGAATTCCTCCTTGTCTTTTCTCAGTAATCTCTTTACATCTTTAGGTGTTGCCCTGTACTGCTCTAATGCATCCGCTTTTGATCCCCTTGTTCTACTTGCATTTGTCTCTGCTTTCAATTGTCTTCTCATGCTAATCAAATCCAATGACCGTTGGCTAATCCATTCCTTAGGCTCCAATTTCTTCTCACCGAGTATTTCTTGACATAAGGACAATTCATGTTTAATAGGACAGAAGAACCAAACCACACCAGAGCACCCGCCAACCACCCACGAGATTTCTTTGCGTAAGGATATTGTTTGATGGGTTTTGTGTGCAGTTTGAATGTTTTTGTGTCTGTAGCCAATCGTGTGTGATGATCTCTAGATTTACATTTTCTTTGGTGATGTGCCAAGAAGGGAGGTCGTGAAAAAGAAATTGCCCTGGGTCTTTTAAATTATTTTCAAAGCAATGTTTTTGGGGTCCAGATCAAGGACTATCCGAATTTAAACTGCTGGGACAGAAAGGTTATGTAATGTTGTCGTTGTTTTTGTATTAAATTGTTAGGTCTGGATGAGTTTGAAAAGAAAATTATACAGTCGTGCACTGGGTTGTCGGGTGTTGAACTTTGTTGTTCTGCGTAGTTGAGTGTTTTCTTTTTCTTTTCGATGTTGAAACTTGTCCAGAGTCTGGGGACTTGCCAGTGTCATTCACCCCAAAACCCGACAAGGACCATGCACACACCCACCCATCCAGTTACATACCGATCGCCTTAACAAGTTGTCTATGTCAACTTATAGAAATACGTTGGAGGACGTGCTTTTGAAAAATAATAATAAAATACACGTGTACCAACGACCTGAAAGCTCCGAAAAAAATACAATGTACTTCTATGAAAAGTTGTATGAAAATAACTCTGCGATACACTTTAGCTAAACGCATACAAGAGCTCTTCAGTGAAACTCTTTTCGATTGCGAATCCAAAAACGTTCCCTCCTTCTCCTCATTTTACTCGTCCGAAGACTTGGACGAATAGTTGGGTTTAAAAGAAACCGAATACACAGATTAAAAGCCTATTCGGTTTTGGTGGAGACACGCTCTCTCATAACACATTTAACATTTTAAAAGGGTAGGAACAACATCAAATTAAATTACATTACACTACATAAACACAGAAATATGAGAAAAACAACACATCAGAATAATAAAAAATATGTTTTTACTTATGCACCCGTCTCATGTTCATGTTTTAAAATATACTTCTTTTCTAGTGGTATTTTGCATTCTGAACCCGAATGTGGCCTTCTTTTAAGCTGCAAATCAATAGTTATTGAGTTATTGATTTGAAAATAGGAAATTTAACAACATGGTGGGTTTCAGGGGGCATGCCCCCCCCCCCGACCTAAAAAAGAATCTGTTTTTTTAAAAGGGGGATTGATATTTACTTGAAATAAATTGATTTGCAAGGGTTTTAGTGGCCATACGTGGGTTCTACAGCAAACATTATGACAGTTTAGCCCTCAAATCAATGCATCTGTGCATGGGTGCATAAGTAAAAATTTACCCAAAAAAATTAACACACTAACAAATTTAAAACACCACAAAGATGGGGAAAAGACAAACAGCAATATAAATGGTATGTATGCACTTACTATATTTTTCACTTGAAAATAACTTTACATGGACACCTTAAAATTATCAAAATACATGTCTAATAAGTAATAAGTTTTGACGAACCTTTTTTTCCCCTGAAAAAGGCTCCCCCATTCCTGCCCCCCTACGCCCATAAAAAACCCCACACACACTCACTCGCGCACACACACACACGCACACACACACACACACACACATACACACACACTCACACACACACACACACACACACACACACACACACTCACGTACACACAAACTCAGCCAATCATTAATTGTAAGGCCTTTATTTTTATCGATGTGTAACTGAGAGGTCATCAGGGCATACTGATTTTTTTGTACCCCCCTAATAAAAAAAAACCCCGTTATTATAGGCCCAAAATTGGTATTTGTTCATATTCGGTCATTCGAATAATTTTTTTTTCTCAATCTTTTGTAGTTGACCGATTCCAAAAATTTGTCAGTGCCAGAATAGCCTGACTGAGACAGGCTGACTGACTGGCAACTAGCAACTGGCAATATAGGCTAGGCCTAAGAATCTTGATCTAGAATTTACTGCTGGAGACAACTCTGTGGTGAGTGAATTAGATATTCTGGATCTAGATCTAATCTAGATCTAGCCTCCTACATTGTCCCAGGTCCCGGTGTACATAATAAACTTGCTTGTGTGAGTCTATACTAGAGTTTATAGTATCTACATCTAGATCTAGCATAGCGACTGAACTGGTCTGTACTCTCGACTCTCAGCTGTTTGTTGTTGACATCAAATTTCATCTATCGGGTCGAAACTGTGTGCCTTTTTCTATTGAAATAGACGAGAGCTAGATCTATCTCTAGATAGATTCTAGATCTAGATTCTAGATTTAGATGTAGATCTCTGATTTTAACTAGCCCAGATGATGCTGGATTCAGATCTAGATCTAGAATCTAGATTCTAGGTCTAGACTAGAGAGATAGATCTACTATTAGAACATTTGATTTATTTTGAACAGAACGATCATCTCTGGTTTCATTTTGAACCTTGTGAATGATTTAGTTTCAGACATTCTTCGTTGTCATCTTACTTGTAACTTTTTTAAAGACAACATGAATATTTTACTCACCCTGCAGGTGGAAATAAAATTGGCCGGCTCTATTTTTCCGAACGTTTGGGAAAATAAACTTGAACTCCAATTTCTCCGAACGGTTTTCGTTCTCGAGATTTGTTGCTGATAATAACAAATTAATTAAAGCGAATGGGGTACCCTGTGTGTGTGTGTCTGTGTGTGTGTGTGTGTGTGTGTGTCTGTGTGTGTGAAAGGTGTGAAGGGGGGGGGGGGATTTTAAAATTTTTTTTTTACCTGAAGGATTTTAGTTTTTTGTTTGTTTGTTTTTGTAAAGTGTTTTACGGCGCTCGCAGCTGCATAGGTCATATGAGCGCGCGGGACACACCTAATATTTTCAGTTGGTAGGAAATTTTGAATTTCGCCCGGGTTGCGGCTGAAGCCTACTCTTATAGATTTTAGACCACCAAGGGATCTTTAATGTGCGCAACTTGCACACAGGTCCTCCGAGATTTTTCGCCCTTGTCCGAGAAGGCTAGGTGTAGATCTTTCCTACCAGAAGATCAGGGGTGTGGCAGAAAGACAGCAGTAAGGGGGAGCCAAGGAGTAGCAGTAGAAAGGCTGCAGAAAGAGTCAGGAGCCGAGAGGAGGGGGCAAAGGAGGTGAGGGGGTGGGGGCTGAAAGTGGAAATGAAAGCAGACAACAGAACATTGCTAGAGAGCAGGGAAGGAGGTGAAAAGAGACAATTTTAGAGAGAAAAAAATTTTTGGTCGCTACCCGGATTCGAACCCGGGACCTTTGAATGAGAGGCCAACACCTTAACCTCTATGCCCCGAGAGCCCCCATTTTAGTTTTTAAATTGCTGGGTGACTGAATGCAAAATAGGTTACTGCCAAGGTTGAGCAGTCTTGTTTTCTCGCAGTAGCCTAACTTTTGAAGACAGGTATTTTCAAATGAAGTATAGTCCGGGAACATTGCCGCAACCACTACAACTGAAGTATCTGAATATTAAGACATTTATAAGCTCTAGAAATGGAATTCGATGCAAAAAATGCTTCTTCCTGGTCCTCGCAGAACTTGGCAGAATGAAAGATAACGCCTAAATCTTGCAAAAATAGCCAAAAAATCTCGAGATTGGATACCGTTCTCGGAGAAATAGAGTTCAACTTTTATTTTCCCGAAGGTTCGGAGAAATAGTCACTTCGAATAAAATTTTCTTTTATTCCCACTCCCGTGATGGGAATATATTTTACTCCCCCTCCCCCCTCCCCCCGTTGATATGGCAGAAAACATTCAAATGCTAAAAGTGACATTTTTCCCTTAGAATTAGCACTCTCGTTGGAATGTGCTCTGAATATTTCCAGACCCAGCATTAAATTGTAGAGAGGCGTACTGGAATAACTTTAAATCTGGATCTAGTCAGTTACTACTTATTAGATCTGCCAGTGGAAATATATACAATGTCTAAATCTCGTCCCAGGTTTAGAGGTCGGTCTTCAGCCTGTACTGTATTACAACTTATAAAAGTAATCTAGAATCTAGATATCTAGATCTAGATATAAGGAATGTTGAGAAGTGACCCGACGTGGGTGAGAATGACAAAAAAAATTATTCCCACCTCAGGTGGAAATACTCACTTCCTTCTTGGTAAGTCTAGTCTAGCCTTTGATGATAGGCTACTGTTTCTTGATCTGTACTGGGTATTCTGTATTCTTGGGCTTGGGGAGTGACTTGGAAGAATAGAAAAGGAAGTGTACTAAGACTAAGAGTTGAGTGTAGATCTTAATACTAGATCTAGCTTTAGTTAACTGGTATTTTTATAGAATTACTCCCATCTCGCGGCTGCTATCCATGCCGGTTTGACTTTTTTGTTTGTTTATGCATGCTTTTATAGTCATTGGGGGTCTCCCCCCCCCTGCTTTTATAGTCATTCGCAACTTTTTAAAATTTTCGAAATTGTGTTCAGGGGTAAAAAACCCCCCCCAGAAAAAGCTACAAAATAACACCATTTATGAGATGGGAGTGATTCTACGATTTACGTTTTAACCAACCTGACCCTGTCCTTACTCTTTGTACAGTCAAACCTGTAAGACGGCCACCCATTGTCAAGGAGAAAAGTGGCCGTATAAGACAGGTGGCCGTCATAGGCAGGACTGATCCAGATGAAGAAAACAAACCATTCCCATCTGAAGTCTCAATCAAAAGTAGCCACATTGTTGTTGTTGTTTTTTCGTTGTTGTTGTTGTGGTTTGTATTTTGTTTGTTATTTTTATTTTGTTGCTGATTTTGCGTAAGGGTGACAATAAAACTAAATGTATCAGACGAGGAAGACCGAGTGCCATGTTAAAACAAACACATGGGTTGCCACCATTCGGAGAACGAGAGAAAGCAATGCTTCTGCCGCAAGTTCATTTTGACGTCTAATGTTACTTTGTTACAGACTGGGGAAACAGTGAACACTCATCTCACATACGATTTGTGTATGAGTTCTGGGCGGGGCTTATGGGTTATGACGGATCACATGCTTTCCTCACCAGCAGCTGAAAATTGGTACCTATTGGTCAACAGTGGGAGGGGCCTACGCAACATGACCGGTTGGAGGGACTACCTAACAGCAACGACAAGTGATTGAATTATGACGGCTCGTCCACTACGCCAGGGCCCAGTGCACAATCTATATGACAAAACATAATGGAGTCACTAAGGTGGCCGTCTAAGACAGGTGTTATTGCTTAGTGTGATAGGGGTTGTGTGTAAAAATATGGTGGCCGCGGCCGCGTTGGACAGGTGCCCGTTTTACACAATTAAACTATAGAAAAAACGCAAAGGTGGATATAGAAAGTGGCCGTTTGTACAGGTGGCCGTCTTATAGAGGTGGCCTTGGGCAGGTTTGACTGTTCCATAAAATTATTGCCCGATACCAGAAATGTGAATTTGGGAAGGTTGCTTTATAACTAGACTAGTTGAAAAGATGAGAAACAAGTGTTTTAGATAAAATTCTTAGAAAAATTATCAGGGAATGGAAGGTCATAATGGATAAGTAGGTAAAATGACATTAATGGAGGTTAGGACCTGGAGTCGAGTTAGTAGTAGGACAGCTATAGGCATATCATGTGTGTGCAAACCAATCTTTTCAACCCATCTCGACTGTCTTGATAGAAAAAAAAAAAAGTAAAATCAATTATTTTGAGAAAATAAAAACACTCAGTAATTAGTATTTTGGCCATTTCTTGAAAAGTGAAACTGTGGTGACGAATCATACGCTCTATGCAGATATGACCTGTTGAAAAACATGAGCATTTTGGGGAGCCAAACTTAATTTTTAAAATATAGTATAGGTGCTATCTTACTCTTCATCTTAACCTAGTAACTTACTTTGAATTAATCAACTGAGACCAAAGTTGTGTAGCCAACTATAGGTCTCTAACATTCAAAAGTACTAGTGTCACTGACACATGTTCAAACAAACCAGCAAATCCAAACTCCTACTCCTATTATTAATGTGATAAATAACACATTCAAAGTTCGCTCCTTTTCCAATTTTCCCCAGGTTCAAGGAGAGTTTGGGAAGCATGGCTTCTGAGTTATTTGACACATATGACCTAAAAGTAGGGTCACCCCCGAAACCTTCTAATGGCCACAAGAAAACATGGAGGGAACTTCAGAATACTGTCAGGGAAACCAGGTAATTTTTTTCGTTTACTTTTGTCCACAGCACCAAAGAGTGATTTACTACTTTTTAATAAATATTAAAACATTTAATTACAGTATAACACGAATAGCTCGAATTCGTCGGGACCGGCCTCGGGAGTTCGAGGGATGCAGGAATAGTGTTATGGCATCGGCTGTGTTAGAGAATCATGGAAAGCAACAGATATTGCTACTTTAGTGGCGAAACAATAGTTCCTGTGATGCACAACCCTTCCTCTCACCCACTCCACACAAGCTTAGCTCTACCTTGTAGGGTCTAGCCTAGACACGCGTAGGCGTGTCGAGCAGCACACTAAAAATAGCACAGCTGCTTCTGTGGGGGAGGGGGGGGGGTGGTATATTACTGGCCATGCCTTTTTCCGTATTTTAAAATTATTACTATTATTATTTTGTCTCAAGTGTACCTCAAAGGACATTGACTTTAGACCTCTACAGCAGCGTAATTAGTTTGACTGTTCTGTGTTTGTTTTCGAGCATCGTGTAATTTTCTTACAAAGATAAAGAAAGAAAAAAACCCGAGACTGCTGGCCCAGTTCGACGAATGTGTGATTTCGAGTCTTCTGTGTTCAACCTATCCGTGTTATACTGTATTATAGAATTTCAACAAATGAGTTAAGTAAAAGTTAATTCATTTGTAACAAGAGAAATTGTCAAAGATGGCCAGCCATTGCTAAGGTCTATAGGGGTTGTCTCGACAAATATGGACATCTTGAACAGTGTCAGTATAGCGGGAAAAAGAGGCAGAGGGGAAAGTGGCTGTTTTTACAGGTGATTGATTTGGTCAAATGGCCATTGGAGCAGGTTTTACTGTACTTTAGTTTGTGTCACTTGACTGTCTCTTCCTGTCAGTTGTTGCTGAATAACGAGAGCTTCAGAATTCTCTCGCAGTGTAGCACCGTCAAACATGCTCTTACAACTTACAGCCACCTGTTTTACACTGTTGACTGTTGCAGCTGCTAGTTTATGTGTGAATGTTCAGCAAGATGAACTCTAAGATATCTATTGGTTCTGGGAATTGTATAGATGGACAGTACGTCACATCTTTGTGAAGTATTTTTTTTAATGATTGCGAGTTGCTGGGGAATTCTATGGCTGTGCTTTTTCTGTTTATTCTTTCTTTAATTATAGGCTTCATCACTGTTGTCCCATTATTATTATTGTAATATCCTGATCCATAGCATGAAGAGTTATATATGTGACCTTCTAGTTGTCAACTGACATGCTCCAATGCCAACAAGATTATATGATTAATTATTGTAGTTTAGCATCATGAATATCATTCTCTAAAAATTGTCCTTGACGGCCACTGATCACCGAAGAGAAAAGTGGTTCTCTTAGATATGTGGATGTCTTGGGCAGTGTCAGTATTATACTACTTTTTTAAATGCAAAGGAGAGAAGTGAGAAGTGGTTACTGTATGAGTGGTTGGCTTGGACAAGTGACTATTAAAGCAGGTTTGACTGTATAATATCGATATTAGGGTTTACTTGATATATGTTTTATATAATTAATAATAATTATAAGCAATATTTTGATTTTCTTTGTTGAAGCTATGATTCTTTATTTCTCCAGGAAAGCAATAGCTCGCTTGACGCCCTCTGTGCCATGCAATTTTCAGTTTCGCACAATCACAGATGAGTTTGGTAACACCATCACTCGGCTTTATTTTCTTGGTGCTCTTGAAATGGGCAAGGACAGTACTTTACTCCAAGCTGATATACCAGGTGAATTTGATTGTCTTTTTCAAGATTTGCTTTATTTTAAATTGTCTTTTTAATTCTTGTAACGTGTTTGAGTTTTAAAAAAAAATGGATTCATGTCATGATGAAAGAATTGGAAGAATATGGGTGTTTTGTACATAAATGTAAAAAAAGACCCCATAGTTATGAGTTTCTGTAACATTTTCTCATGTTCATAATCATCATTGAGCATAGAATATAGATTTACATTTTTGAATATCTAGGATTGTATCTGAAAGCAAATGCATCTCAGAAATAAAAAGGAAAATTGCAATGTGTGCGTTTTAAAAGTACACAAGGTTATATGTCAATGACACAGTGTTCAGGTGGGTGGGTGGTCACAGGAGTGTGTCCCAGAGCAAGACAGTTGCAACCGGCAATGGTCTGCTGATAATCGATATTGTTCATGTAATATTCTGAGCTTTTTCTCAGTAAATAGTGTTGGAAAGGGCTTTATTAAACCAGTGCAGTTACCGATAATGCAAGTCTCAAAACTCAACAGACACGCCTCTGAGTCAGCCAATGGGAGGAGGAGATGCCTCATCGTCTCAGGCTGACAGTGCCGGAGGGGATGCTTGGTCGCAGAGCCTGCCGGCCTTGTGGGCGTCGGCTTTGTTCTCGAGCCAACCGAGCGGGACGGCTGCACCGATGTCGCGGGAGGAACAGCTACTCAGAGAGCGCAAGAGGCTCTGCTCCTATGGGCTGACCTCGTACGAGCTGAGCCGAGAGGACGGACTGTTTGTCATTCCCGCCAGTAACAGTCTCTACGTCTGCCATGACTCGGTATCCTCAAAGTGTTTCTTCATTTACTCTGATTTTTTTTGGGCACATTCGTGGGTTTTTGTTGGTTTTTTAAAATTGTTTTTTTTTTTATGGTGTGTTCTCCCATTCTTCAAGTTTTTTTTTCTTCTTTTCTTTTGGAGTGTTCTTCTTCGAGTTTTTTTTGGTTCAATGATTAGTCCTGTTTTATTAATTTATTAAGTGTCAGGGCAACGAATGGGATTAGCTCATCTGTTTTTGTGTACATTTTTGTTGTTGTTTTTGTTTGTTTTTTGTAACCGGTAGTGTGTCCTCTTTACTTGTTTTGTGTCAGGGAGTCAAAGGTGATTAGTGAACGGGATATAAAGCTGCAAATCCATAACGATAATACTTTGGCTGAATTTTCTTACTAGTTTTGAGCCTGGGATTTCCTCATGTCTGAATTCTGAGTTTTGTAGAAGTAGAAGGGTAAAGAGCAAAATTCTGAGTTTTGTGGAAGGGTAAAGACCAGAGTATGGTCAGCATTGTCCAAAACGCGCTCACCTATTGTCGGGTAAAAAATTTCTTCTTAAAAAAAGTTATAGTATTAAAAATAACACAAAGGGGTAAGGGGAAATGTTTTTTTGTATAAGTGATTCTCAAGGACAGGTGGTTGTTTGAGCAGGTTCGACATATTTGAAGCAATCTCTACTTGAAAATGATGAGTCTGTTTCTCCCTGGCTGCTGTGGCTCATTTTGTAATAGACTACACGTTCGTGGAAGAAAGGTCGTCACGTTTTGAGAGAGTGTGTCTTCTCAGCTGCTTTTCTCTTCTGGAGCACTAGAAGTACTCTGTCTATGAAATGGACTTTACTGTGTCTTGCAGGACGTTGCGCCTCTGTGGGTGGTTGGTGGGTGCTTTGGTGTGGTTTGCTGTTTCTTTCCAATCAAACATCTATTATCCTCATCTCCCCTCCTTTTTTAAAAGGTTTGTTACTCTCTTGTAACACTTTTTGGCACTTATATGACCGTAATGTGTTACAAGTGCCGTAAAACTACTAAAATTGAAAAACTAAAAGCAGCCGGGTTAAAAAACAATGTCTCCGTTTTCTGCAGGGGGATGGTGCCCCGGTACCAACAGAGGTCCCAACCATGACCTATGGAGCTCGGCTGGATCCGAAGCTCTGCCCGTCCAACACAGACCTCCTGGCTTTTGTGCATGAAGCTGACCTGTGGCTGACCTGCCTTGGTACTGGCAAAGAGATCAGACTCACGTACGCCCGCAATAGTAAGTATAGTGGAGTGCAGAGGCAATGTGTTAGGGCAAGACTTTAGAAATGTACCGATTGATACTTTCCCTTAACATGGCCTCGAGTATAATACGAGGGTGTGTGTGTGTGTGTGTTTGTGTGTGTGTGTGTGTGTGTGTGTGTTTACTTTGACTTTAAAATTGGTACACTTTTTAGTAGGTCGCACATATCAACTGTGTAGTGGAGGACTCCTTCATACACCATTTTGAAAATTTATGTAGTACAATATTGTCTGACTCTGAGCATGTGTAAAATCAAATACTAGTTGGGCATCAAATACAGCATCTTACGTTTAAGAACAGTTGATTGTCGTGTTGAGATTGAGTGACTCCGTTTGACTGGAGTTGGTGGTAATCCTAGTAAGATGGCGAGATGTGTTGTAATTGTTCAATGGAAAATCCTTTTGGGCGTTATTTCCCTCTTTTTTAGGCCTATTCCTGACTGTATTTCAAGCTTATGATATAGGTTATATAATATTTGGACTTCATTTTTTGAGAATATCGCTCATATTATTATTGCCTAGTATATATAGTACTATCGATTAGCCAGTATGTACCCTGTATGTACATTGGGTCTGTATGGTGGGATTGTGGATGGTTGGTGGGTGCTAGTATTATTATTTTTATTTTTATTATTATCTTCATTAAATGATTATTACTATTACCAGACTATAAGTTCAATGAGTGTGTACTGTGTGTCTGCAGATGTATAAGTCATCATCAAACATTGACGGATAAACTATTGTAATTATTATTGTTGTCGTTTTTAAAATTATTATCACATCATCATCATCGTCGTCATCATCATTATTATTATTAATTATTATATTATTATTATCTTTATGGAATGATTATTACTATTACCTTCCTATAAGTACAATGAGTGTGTGTTGTGTGTCTGTGCAGGTTTCCCCTCGAGGCTGGAGGAGGAGTACTTAAGTGCCGGGGTGCCCAGTTTCGTCATCCAGGAGGAGTTTGACCGCTACACGGGCTACTGGTGGTCACCTGTCTGCCAGAGACCTTCAGGTGGGCCGTCTGGCGCATATGATTTTGGTCTTTGTTACGTGTGTTTTAGTCTCTGTCACTGGTATTGCTGGGTTGTGGGTAATGCTCTGATGTGATCTGCTCATTTTATTGGTTTTTGTTTTTGTTTTGGGAGTCGAAATGGTTTGTGTTGATAAGGGCGTATAAGCATCTACATTTTAAAATACAATTTTTTAGTGGAAGTTGGTGGTTGGCAGGTGCTTCAAAGTGGTTTGCGTCTTCTTATGTAATATCTATTGTCTATATCTCTCCTCCTTTTAATTTACATGTTACCCTCTAGTAACACCTCTAATCTTCGGCACTTGTATGTCCTAATTGTGTTGCAAGCGCTTTAAAACTTTTACTAAAACTAGAAGGACAGTTGAACCTCTCCAAGGTGAGCTCAAAGTAGTCCGAGGGTGCCGCTGATAGGTCCTATTCTTCTTCTGTCTTTCGGTGTCTCTGTCTCTGTTTCTGTCTGTCTTTCTTATTCCCCAAGCTCTAAATGGCAGACATTGATTGTATTACGGATGTGCTTATTTTTACTCCAGCAGTGGGGTGGTTGGCAGATGCTCTAGTATGGTTTGCTTCTTCTTTCCTATAAAGCACACACTGGTCTTGTCTCTCCTGTTTTTGGTTGTTGTTCTCTAGAAACACCTCTTATTTCACAAAACCTTATTGTGTTGCAAGTGCTGTAAAATGCTTATTAGCAGGTGATTGATGGGTGCTCTATTTCACAAGACCTTATTGTGTTGCAAGTGCTGTAAAATGCTTATTAGCAGGTGATTGATGGGTGCTCTGGTGTGTGTGTTTTATATATTTTTTTAGAATAGTAGAGGTTTTTACGGCGCTCGCAACTGCATAAGGTCATATGAGCGCCATTGGTGTGGTTTGCTACTTCTTTCCTATTGTGTTTGTTACTCTCTTGTAACACCTCTTATCTTTGGCAACCCCCCCAGGGGTGGTGCTACTGGCTGAAGTGTCTTTAGGCCATTCCCAAAGGGGGGGGGGGTGGGGATGGGGGGTGGGGTGGGGGGGGGGGGGACATTAACATGTTCTTATGCACTGTAGAATTATTAATGGGCTGATTTATCAATATCATGCTCATAACTGTGCTTGAACTGCAACGGGGAACTGCTGCTTTTTCTTTCTTCATCCTTACTACTGTCATTTTCCTCTACTTCTTTTGTATGTTTTACACTCTCTTGTGAACTGCTATTTCCAGGGTGCCTTGATAGTTGAAGCAGGCTTTGTGCTGTTAAGGCTAGAGAGGTGAGCAGAGTAAGCCTGATTCCTCGTTTGAACTTCTCTGTTGACACCCACCCCTTGGAGCTCATATGACCTTATGCAGTTGTGAGCGCCGTAAAACCTTTCTAAAACTAACTTTCTTCAGCCCTTATACATGTATAACCTTATTGTGTTGCAAGTGCCGTAAAACCCTTATTAAAACATAGTTTAACTTGTATTAAAACTTACCTAAATTTATTTTAACAAACCAACATCAGCTTGATGTGTTGACTCTAGAGGTCAGGGTATGATGAGTGTGTAATTTTTTCTCTCCTTCCAGATGGCAAACGGGTTTACCATATTCTTTACGAGGAAGTCGACGAGTCAGACGTTGATATCGTGTCTCTCTTCGCCCCGACAGAACACGATACGAGCACGGATCAGTACAGGTATGCCTTCGTTGTTTTCCCCTCTACAGGGATCTAGGGGTAATAGACAGACAACTGTTGTCAGTGGTGTAAAGGTTAGATGCTTCACTGCTACTGTGTGCAGGAGATACAAGTTTGATTCTCTTGTGAGGAGAATTTTTTTATAGAGTATCTCCTTTTCCCTCTCAGCTTGGGGACCGTATTGACAGTTGAAGCAGCCTATCTCTGTGGCGTTGGTGGCCTAGTGGTTAGGCTCTTAGACTCGCAACTGTAAGGTCGTGGGTTCGAATCTTGTCAGGGGCCCGCTATTGTGTCATTGGGAAAGGCACTTTAGATGAATTTTCCTCACTTCACCCAGATGAGAATGGGTACCCAGCTATAGACAGTAAAGATCTTGTCAGCTTGTTAGTGTTTGAGAGTTTAATCGGCTGCTTGCACTGTATGCTTCCCAGGAAGCTGAGAATATTTCTGAGTGTTTTGTGGTCTGCTGGGAGTAATAATATAGTGTAAAGCGCATAGAACTTGCAGTCGAGCAGGGACATGCGCTATGCAAATGCTGTTTATTATTATTATTATTAAATGATCTACATTTTGTCAATGGGGTCATTCCAAAAAACTGTTTTTTCTTTCCCAGGTATCCTAAAGCGGGTACCGCCAACGCTTTAAGCAATCTGAAGCTGCTGGAGATTAGTCTGTTCTTCTCCGGGCCCGTGAGTATATTACATCGTACATTATATCATATTACGCCATGCATCATATCATATCATGCCATACATGATATCTTATGACACCATACATCACATCACATCATATCATGCCATACATGATATCTTATGACACCATACATCACATCACATCATATTATGCCATACATCATATCATATTACGCCGTTGCATATCGTATCATATTATACCATATTAAATCAGGTCAAACCGACTGCTTAGTGTAGGACTCTGCCATATGCCATTTTGAAAGGTGACACCTGATGGACCACCAGGTTGACAGGCAAACACAATACCTGTTGAGCTACTAAATTCTTTAAAAAAAAATCTGATTCGATGCAATTTATTTGAAATGATTTATCTGATCTGTCACATCTAAAAAAAGGTTTAATGCCGGTCCAATGCTATTTAAAAGGGAAGACATGCAGCACGGCGATATGACTCTCCTTTCCTCATGACTCTCTTCTTTCCCTCAGACAACACAAGTGACGGATATACAAGTGACAGAACGCAGTCTGAAGCCTGGCCTGTTCCAGATGTGTCCGTGGGGAGAGTACTTGGTCCGGGCGGGCTGGACAGCCGACGGGAACTAGTGAGTATCCAACACAGGTTGTGCCAACTGTCCCAAATTTCCGCGGGAGTCTTCCAGATTCTGCAAACGGGAATTTGAGAGGACCTTTTTAGTCTGTGCCACCTCGACTGGCCAAACATTGAGAGGACATTTTTTAATCTCCACCACTTCGGCTTGCCAAATTTATTATATACATTTCAACAAAACCCACAAAAAACAGTCCCCTTTTGATGTAAGTTTGTTTGTGGTTTTGTAATAATTCTGGCATGGGTGGCTCTCAGATTTGCAACCGTGAGATCGTGGGTTCGAATCCCGTCAGGGACCCAACGTTGTGTTCTTAGGAAAGGCACTTTACACAAATTTTCCTCACTTCACCCAGGTGAGAATGGGTAACCAGCTATAGACAGCGAAAGATCTTGTCAGTTTGTTGGGTGCTTGAGTGCTTAATCGGCTTCTTGTACTGTGTACCTCCCAGAATGTATCTGTGTGTTATAGGGTCTGCTTGCGTAGTAATATAGTGTAAAGCGCAGAGAGCTTGCTGTCGAGCAAGGGTATGCGCTATATAAATGTTATTTATTATTTATTATTATTATAATCTTATTTTATAACATTGCATGTCCCTGATCAGAATTGAAAAAGTTGTCAAGTATATATAGTGAGAGAGTAACATAATCTCCTGTCTCGAGTCTAAGGTTTGCCCTGTCAAGAAATGTTGACCTCTCTTATACAAATTTATTGTTGATTCAAGTAAAGTTTAGATTATCAGCTTATTTTAGAGGGCGCCATAAGCGGGTTCTACTACTTTTCTTTCCTCTTTATAAAGTAAGACTGATGATAACATTCTAAAGTAAGATTTATGATAACTTTATAAAGTAAGACTGATGATAACATTATATGATGATAACTTTATAAAGTATGACAGATGATGATATTTTAAAGTACGACTAATGATGTATTTATGAAATATGACTAATGATAACATTGTAAGGTATGACTGATTATAATTTTATAAAGCATGACTGATGATTATTTCATAAAGTAAGACCGAAGATAACATTTTAAAGTATGACTGGTGATAGCATTATAAAGTACGACTGATGATAACTGGTTACTGAATGGTTGTGTTGCACTGCACAAATGTTTCTCAGTGTATATGCTGTGGTGATGGACCGGCTACAGATGAGGCAGGCTGTGCTGCTCATTTCCCCGTACTCGTTCCGCTCGGAGGCGGCCGACGGCCCGGCTCCCCATATACAGTGCATTTTTGAGGAAACTACAGACGTCTGGATAAACGTGAGATTTTTCTTTGATTGGATAGAGAAATAGAGGGAGACTGTGAGCTTTTTTCACGCTAAGAAATAATGTTTGAGTTTTTTAATGAAATAATTAGGAAGAGCATTGATGAATAAGAGAAAAATTGAACATTTTTGATTTTAAGATGTAAGGACAGAGACATAAAGAGAAACTTTGAGCATTTTTCACACTAAGATGTAATGTTCTGAGTTTTTCAGTAAGAAAATTTGAAAGAAGATTGATAAATTGAAGGAAAGTAGATCATTTTTCTATATCAAGACGTTGTTTTTGTTTATGGTTTTATTTAGATATTTATATATGTATAGGTGTAGGCTCTTTTATTTTATTTTTTAAAACTCTTTTTCTCTCCTACAATAGTTCAGCTATAGGAGGTTTAACCTATCCAATTAATACTACTACTACTACTACTACTACTACATTATATCAGAAAAAGGTGACTCAATGTCATTTGAAGAACAAAGAGTGGAAGTGAAACAGTAATGGCTCGAATTTTCCCCTCATCCAGGTTAATAGGAGAATATGATATGTTGTGACCTATTTTTGGTGAATGTGGGCGACTGGTCGCTGATGAATATTTTAAAAATAAACTGCAACATGTTGGACATTGGGACTGGTGGCGTATTGTTGTCATAATTCAATTGTAATTGGAGAAGAGTTGTTCCCGCCATTGACACAATTTAGGTCTCCCAGTACGCTACCTTAGAATTACAATGTCCTGTCTGACATTTTTGGCCGTTTTGAGTGAATGAGACCATGAGGTCAGAAACCAAATGTGAGGCAGCATGGTGGAATCAGGCTCTCGTCAATTTTTGGGCATGTCGAGTTATTGGTATCATCTTAAAGCTTCTTCAATTGTCTTTATTTGTATGAAAAAAATATAGAATTATCTTGAATACAAGTCGAGATATTGGTGAATGAAGGAGGTGGGGTTATCTATTTTCAGAGGCAAAATTAGCGAGAAAATGGCTGCTAAAGATTAGTTATTTCTTTAGCTTAGAAGTCCTTGGTAACTGAAAATTTACATTTTTAGTGCCTTTAATCAACGTTTTTCATTAAAATCCACACTGAAATGAGTTCTTTATTGGGCATGAAAGGTGTTGAGCCAAAAAAAAAAATTTGATAAAAATTCACAAACCTGCGGGAAAATGCAGGTTTCTTCATTTCAATTATTTTGACGAGAGCCTGATTACACCACGTTGCCTCACAAATGTTCCTTCTACCTCTCAAAATCATAAGATTTTTGGGAGTCATTATCAAGATATTCAAAGAGTTGCATTCGAAAAAGCTTGACATATTATTGTGACTCAAAATTGTTGTCGTCAAGTTTCTCAAAGCAAGGTGCTGAGCTGATAGAACTTTGTAATTCTAGGATAGCCAGTAGTGAGATGAAGAAAAGAGGGTTGTGGATGGATGGAAAGAAGATGAGTAAAAAAAATGATAACGTTTATGACTCACAGACAGACGTATAGGATTGTGTGGGGATATAATATGATTGATAGATGAAGAGAGTGGTGGATGGAGAGAAGGTGGGTGAAAGAAAAGTATCTGGCGGGGTTAGCGGAAGGATTTGATGTGTTTGATAAATGGGGAATGTAATGGACTGAAAGAAAAAGAGTGATGGTTGCAGAAATGCTAAGGTACCATTATAGGTTTCTATAGATCTCTAAGTGTTTTAGGTTTCTAATAAAGAGGTAATGACATATGATGGGTAGCTGTGAGATATTTCGCTGTTGCACACAGAAGACTTAAGTTTCATTTCTTCTGTGGGATGGAGAATTTTTATTGAGTATCTTCGTTTTTCTGTTGTAAAGTTGTGTCTTTCTCAGCCCAGGTGGGCTCTGACAGGCTGGATCAAAGCCTGCCCACAAAATGATATAGACTCTGTGGATCGGGGCATAAAAATATCTACATGAAAGAACAAAAACAACTGTGAGGCAGCGTTGTGAAATCAAGCGCTCGTCAAAATCATGAAATTGAAGAAACTGGTATTTTCCGGCCAGTTTGGGTATTTTTATCATTTTTTTGTTGTTGTGCTCAGCATCTTTTATGTCCATTCAAGAACACATTTCTGTGTGGATTTTACTGAAAAATATTGATTCTTTTATGGAAATTACCAAACTTGGGGG